ACATTTCACTAGGCTTAAAGGAAGGATAACCACCTGGACCCCCAATTACACCAAGTTCTGGTAAGTGGCGGTCCAGTTGAGCATGGACAATATATGTGGTGAGGTTACGGGACATCTCTAGGAGGATGTGTCTCAAACGTAGGCATCCTAAACTTTTATGATGCCCTTTTTCTGCCTATGATCGCAGGAGTCACACGCGCGAACTTTGGTATTTATGTTTTTTTTAGGCTGCCACATAATTTGTCAAATTTGTACACTGGATATTTGTAGTCGTGCAAATTTTCATCTCTATGCTCACGTGTCTCGAAATGGCGTACGACTGCTTATAGTCGTGGGACTGGACAATCGAAATTGTCTTATGTTGATGGAAACGAAATCCGTGTAGTACCATTCGTGCTTTTACTAAAATTCGTAACCAGATTGGTCTGAATGGCGAAGTGACTCAATAGTGGAAAGACTATTTCGTTTTGAACCGAACGTGAGGTGTGAAATTTCGGAGGAAAATCTCGTCTGGCAAGTGGAATAACTACAAGCAACAATAACCGTCTGGAGAAACTAGACTGGGAGTTTGTAAAATCATGTCAAAAATATTTATTTTGGAAATCCGTAAACCCCTATTTCCGCTCGTGACAAACGCGCTGGTCGTAATTTTGGATCGACCGATTCGCCTAAGTCGAGCCGAGTGAAAAACCTTCACATTCTTTATATGCTTATACATTACGTGATTGCTAAGGCATCGGCAGTCGTCACAGTTTTTTCTCACGCGGATATACCGACTAAAACCCTTTTTGAAACCGTGGTCGATAGAGTTAGAAATTTTTGGAGCGCCATAAGCGCGCGGCAAGAGAATATTGACCAGGGTCTACAATCTCGTTTCTAGGATTTCTACTTCACTCCCATTTTCGCCTCTGTCTCTTCTGGCTCGTGACATTGCTCCAAACTTTTCTGAAGCAGCAATGATTATTTTCTGAAGCGATTGACCATTGCTGGCATCGAGTGCTTATGGAAGATTCCTCTTAGGGTTGCGGTTTCCTGGGCGAAGTACATATTTCATCTCTCGCTTATTTCCACTCGGGCTGCAGTCTCAACGAGTAAAAACAAAACGAACGAACTTCTGGGGCAATAGGTACAGCGCATTCAGACCCTGAATACGCTGTACGAGTGTACCTACAGAGCGCCAGACTGCCAGACTGCCAGTGCCCCTCGGGCTACTTGGCCCACGTCGTGGAGTGTGCATGATGATGCCCTTTCAACCGAGAGTCCAAGTGTGCTGGTCAATTCTACTGTTCTACTGTACAGCTGTCAAACCCTTGTTCACGAGATTCAGTCGTCCTGGCTGCCCTGCCTATTTTGCCTGACCCTCCAGTGGGAAGATACAATTGTCCTTATTGGAATACAACACGAAATCCAGATACCGTACAGCCGAGACCCGAAAACGCTACATGAACTGTACCCACAATCTGCTGGTTCGTGATGGAACAAGTACGAACGAACCTTCCCTGGACCACATTGTACACGTTTTGCCATGCAATGTCTTTCCTCTTACTCATCATTCTCATTTGGAACAACAAAACTTTGCAATGCCTTCGGTGAACCAAGTTCTTCTTGATTCACCGGATACAACCTCTGCTCGGCCAGGAGCATAATCGGCAAGAAAGTCAATTTTGATAAAACATTGAAGGTGTCATGTGTTGAATATTATTGTTACCGCATTCTTAACCCTCGATGCTTGAATGGGAACCAAGATATTGTTACGTTAAATGTGAGGTTAATCTAACAACGGGAAAAAAAAATCCCTTTCCAAAGTTTTGTTGTTCCATGGACTTGGTTCACCAAGCTACGTATCATATAGCCTTTTGATGCCTCATGTGTAAAGATGAAGTAGCTGACGCCATTCTGTCTTGTTTTCATGGACCTTCTTGAACCTCCCAAAGTCAATCACGCATACATAGTTTCACATTAAAAGATTGATAATAAAGACCACGCTCTTCCCAACATGCAAGCATGGTTGGATGAGGCGCCGCATAGCAAAAACAAGGCTGATTATTGCATGTCAAGTACATTCATATACATCTTCGGTTCATCCTGTTAAATTTAGTAGCACAAAAGGAAGTAGGAAACTTAGGAGCCATGCCTAAGGTGTTGAGCTAGGCATGGACTATCGAGATGGTTAAGAAGGAGAAAGGGGTTTCACTATAGAAAGTTGAGTACAAATAGGGTGGGAAAGGTGGGTACACCACCAAATAGGAAGTTAAGATAACTACACTAAGGCTAGAACTACATGCAGTTATAATATAATTCTGACACATCCGTATATCGGCTGATAATTATTACGATGGTCAGCAAATCTGACAAAATTAAGAAATCTGAACTCAATGATGAGGCCTTCATATTATTCTTTAACAAATGTACAAGTGAAAAAAAATGTTTCTTGTAGTAAAAATGCTTTCATATGATGAAACCATGCAACTTGCCACTCGTTGTTGAATTAATGAGCTCATCTCTATTTTCCAAGAACCACCAACCTGTAGTCCTTGCAAAAATGTTTTGAGCCACCATGAAGATAAGGATGGAACGAACTACAGTGATATAGTTGGCTTTGGGATAAGGAAAATACGCAACGTTTGTACGTAGATATGCCCCGAAACACGACGTCACATGGTTGTTCGACATAATATGATTTATAATATTTCTACTACTAGTTAGGATCTTGAATATTATATTGGATTTGAACAGGAGTGGAACAACCATACGGCATATGCACCCAAACGTATATGAAAATATACGGTGCTGAAAACCACAGAACAATGTGGAGCTCGATACGATTCAACCATGTTAGTGATATACATCTATTACGTTGTACTAGATCGCATCATTCTACATAATACCTATATATCATCACATCAGTATTACATGGAGCATATTACGATACTGGTTATAAATCTCAAACTGCATTGATTCCATAACATCTATACGTCATATTTGAAATATGAGATATATATATATATGTATATTCACGCACACATATATTTTGATATATATTTATTCATATGACAATTTTAAAATTCATTTACTGTCACATTAGGCGCACTTGATGGAAGAAGGCGAAATTTCTTTGCTTAATTACGGCCATGGCCGCCCCCAAAAGGTTGAATGGATATGGGTATCATGTATATAAATGTTTGGTAAGGTGGGGAGGTAAATGGACATTGTTTGTAGATACAGTTAGATGTGTATATGATTAACTCAATTTTTTTTTTTTTGAGAAAAATCCATGCATCGTAAGGACTTTGATTGTGACTGGTTCGAGATGGGATAACGCAATGCTGATATGTATTGGTAGCAGGTTTTTACAGGATAAGACAAGTCTATGTGATCAAATTCTTGCCATACATAAAGGCCCAATGGCTCTGGTGTGAAATAAACAGGAATTATTTTTGCCTAGTCATTAGACACCCTCTTTAGTCAAATTTTCATGCTATTGGGGTTTGCCACAATGAAATTATCTAGAACCAGGTGTAAAGTCTTGCTAGCAGAATGATTTCAATAGGAAGTCAACGTGGGTCAGTCAATTGTTAGAATGGCAGTGACAGCAGGCAACGTAGCAGAGAGAACAAGAGCCCACCCATAGTCCAACTGTGTTGTTGGGATTCTTTGGAGCGTAAGGGGAAAGCATTTTGGACGAGAGGGCTCCATTTTAGTTCACAAACATTTCTTTGCCTCTCTCAACGCGGTTTGAATCCCCCTTCTTGAAATTTCGTAACGCCTCCTCAAGCTACTATCACGGTGGGAGCTCCTGCGAGAGGTGCTACCAGGAGAGGCCACCATTGCGGCAATATGTCCTTAAATTCGACCAAGCAAAGCGGCCAGAGGCAGAACCAAGCAGCAGTTCTGCCAGAAACGGCGCCAGCATCGCCTTCAATATCGGTCCTAACCAACTCCGATGTGGCTGACGTTTCCGAAAATGCTGATGCAAGCTCCGAGGCTCCTCTGGTTTGCAGCAGCGTGGTGGCAACGTCGAAGCGCACAGCAGCAGCATTCCGGACCCCAGCGAGTCGAAGAAAGCAACCGTGACCACTTCAGCAACCCCGCAGCCGCCGCATCATCACGGCTCGACATCTTTATCGCAGCCAAATGAAACCAGGGAACACCCAATCGCAATGCCGCTTGCATCCATCGATTCAGCCACTCTCCAGCAACTGCTTGAACGTCTCGTTAGTAGTATGGGGCCAGCGCGGCCCGACGGACAGACACTGTCTGGAACAACCGACCTCTCCAACGTGTCGCGTCAACCGCTGGCGGCGGCGCCGCGGAACACGGAGGCTGCATTCAACAGCTTGGCTGTTCCCAGTGTCGGAGCGCTGGTAGCACCCGATCAAATCGAATCAAATCCAGCCGGCGGCGGCGGCAGTCTGCGGTTCTACTATTTCACCTTCCCCAACGGTGTGTGTGGCTTCTTTCAAGGTGACGGACAGACCACTGGCAGTTTGGGATCGACACATCCGCCAGAGCCGACCATTGGCTCCAACTTGGGATCCGCCAACGTCAGTTACTATTTTCCAGACAGTCAAGCGTCAACGGATGTCAGATCATTCGGCGATGGGTCATCCCGGCCAGCAGCATCACGTGGCGGCTCCGAGCAGACTGCGGCATGGGTTGGCATGGGGGGCCAGGGAGAGATGCGTGTGGGGAATGAGGGGGGGATGCGCATTGCGGAAGGCCAAGATGGAGAGATCCAGATCACCACAACGCCGACACAACTGGTGGCGGAGTGTAGCCATCCACCGTACGCTCCTCTCGGTGATATCGGGCAAGACCAGGCCGTTGAAGTAGCAGTGTCGTCATCGTTTCACGCTGATGCTGATACGATGGAGATGGCCCCTGGAGGGAGCGGCTGTAGTAATGCCATTGTGCCTTTTGAACCGGAAGGAGCTACTGAAATGCTTGAGAATGATGCTAGTGTGAACGCCGACTTTCACCGCTTGGTGGTGCCTCTCCAGATGCCTGTTTCGTCCATCACCCCCGGCGCCGCTCCCGAGGGCTTGCACGGTACAAGTGTGGCAAATGATACCTGCCAGCACAGCAGGCTTAAGGCGGCTGAACCGGACCGGGAAGCTGCTGGAGTGAACGGTCTGCCCTTTGCTGATGTGCTTGCTACCACTGGTGGCACTCTGGAGGCGCAGGCCGTCACCAAAAGCCTTCTCACCCCTTGGGAGGCTCAGCAGCTGCTTGCTGCTGCTTCTGCTGCTGCTTCTACTGCTGCTTCTGCTGCTGCTGCTGGGACGAACGGGCCCCATCGTTCCACAACGGTGGACTCATCTCACTTGCCTGGCTCCCTAGACTCTCCCCACCCCCCGCACTACCTTGTACAGGCTTCAGAATCTCCTGTCACGTACTCTCCCATTGCCAGAGGTGCTGCTGCCGATGCTGCAGCTCCTTGTGATGTTTATACTGCCACTCCTTCTGCAGCTGATGCTGCCGCCGTCGTTGCCGCTGCTGCAGATCGCACTGCTGGTGCCGCCGAGTGCACGAATGCAGAAAGCTTGCTCATCGGTGGGTGCGACGACTTCACATCCCTGCTGCTCATGGACCCTTTCAGCCTCGTTGACTCGCTATCGCTGCCCTATCCCTTCACCTCCTTGGACTCCTTGCCTCCGGCCGCCAACGCGCTGAGAGGAGACTCCCCGAGAGGGGATCAGCCGACAGGGATATTCTCAACGGCTGCGCAAGCAGCAGCTTATGGCGGAGAGGGATCAGGAGGAGCTCTTGCAGGTGCTGCTGGGGAGGGACCATCGGGAGGGCAGAACGGAGATGCGGAGGTGGGAGAGGGGCTGCCTCAGGCGAGCTTGGACTTCATGGCACAGGAGGAGCTGTTTCAAGCGCTGCTGCTAGAGGAGGCACCAGAGAGCGCTGCAAGGAGGCTGTTGAGTGCAACGTGCGGTGCGGTGATGCCTGCAGATCAGCCTGGTGAAATATCTGAGTATCCACCTGCTCAACCAGCCATGAATCAACTGGGAGACCCATCTGGGAATCTCACTGTGAATCCGTGTGGAAATCTCATTGGAGATCCGTCTGGAGATCCAACGGTCCACAGCAGCCTGGCGTTCCGTGAAGCCGCTAGCGCACCATGTGCGGAAACATGCATGATGCCACGAATCGCTGGTGAATCTAGTGGAATAGGTATTGCACTTCCAGAGGAAGGGAGGCAGGAGGGAGGCAAGCAGCAGAAGAAGAGGAAGAAGACACAGAAGAAGGCTGAGGTAGTGTCATCAATGCAGGGTGGGCAGCAGGACGCAGCTGCTGTGAAGGTGGCCTTCCTTGAAATCACGAGCACCCCAGTCGCTGAAGTATGCGCAATGCCAAGAAGCACTGGTGATTCCAGTGATACTGGGGTTGCACTTGCTATGACCGGGAGTGAAGCAGGTTTGAAGACGGCCGTGGTGGGTGCTGCTGTGATTCCAGAGGGGAAGGAGGAGGGAGGCAAGCAGCAGAAGAAGAGGAAGAAGACACAGAAGAAGGCTGAGCTGGTTTCATCAATGGGGGATGGGCAGCTGGATGGAGCTCCTGTGACGGCAGCTCCCCAAGCCAAGAAAGCAGAAAGATGCACAAGGCTCCAAGTCCTCTGGCCAGGGCAACAGTCAGGCTCAACCTTCCAGTGCTGTGAGTTCTGCTCCAGAACCAGCACCACCAGAACCAGCACTGGAACCATCACCAGAACCAGCAGAACCAGCACGTTTATACTCAGCAGGTAGTTCCAGTGAAGGGTTGACTAGCTCATCAACCCCCTCTCCTGCAGCTGCTGCTGCAAAGCCAAAAGGATCTGGGCCTAAACCGAAGATCAAGAAACGAGCAGAAGATATTTCGTCTGGTGAAGTGAGGTACATTGGAGTTCGAAAGAGGGGATTGGGCAATCGATGGGTGGCGGAGATAAAGGACAACATCCATGGAGTGCGGAGGTGGCTTGGGACGTTTGGCACGCCTGAAGAGGCAGCCCGGGAGTATGATAAGGCAGCAAGGGAAATCAGAGGTGAAACCACCCGCCGCACCAACTTCCCCCTTCACAAGTAGGCGGCCTGTGTTTGGTCTCACAAATTCGTGGGATGTGGCTGATTTTCATTCAGGTTTTGGATTGTGATACTGATTCGACACCTTTTATATACTGCTGGCTTTGAGAGTTGGTTTGTTCTAGCATACAGTTATCACCCTGACATACCACCATCGGGTTGTACTTTAAATACCATCAAAACTACTGTATATTTTCCGGGTGCAGAAAAGAAAGGAAAGAAGTTCTTGTGTCTGCCTTTCACTGGCCTTGTTCAATAGCCAACGAGATCGGGAACGGGAACGGCAGGGCTTGGCTCGAAACCAGGCTCGGGAGGGGAAAATCGCACGGCGACGTCCATGCGATTGAGCCCGAACCACGTTGAGATGCTTGGGATTTCCGAGCTGGGCTCCTCCCATTTCTCTCGCGTTGAACAGTGCGCCGTCAACCCATTCCACAGTGATCACAGGCAAAAGCTTCTCCCGATCCCGTTCACCTGCTACCAGATGTACGGGAACAGGTTCCCCTCGCCTCTCCCCGCCTCTCCCCGCCTCTCCTCGCCTCTCCTCGCCTCTCCCCGCCTCTCCTCGCCTCTCCTCGCCTCTCCCCGCCTCCCCTCGCCTCTCCTCGCCTCTCCCCGCCTCTCCCTGCCTCTCCTCGCCTCGCCTCGCCTCTCCTCTCCCCGCCTCTCCCCGCCTCTCCTCGCCTCTCCTCGCCTCTCCTCGCCTCTCCTCGCCTCTTCTCGCCTCTCCCTGCCTCTCCCCGCCTCTCCCCGCCTCTCCTCGCCTCTCCTCGCCTCTCCGTGCCTCTCCCCGCCTCTCCCCGCCTCTCCTCGCCTCTCCTCGCCTCTCCCCGCCTCTCCTCGCCTCTCCTCGCCTCTCCCCACCTCTCCTCGCCTCTCCTTGCCTCTCCCCGCCTCTCCCTGCCTCTCCTCGCCTCGCCTCTCCCCGCCTCTTTCCGCCTCTCCTCGCCTCTCCTCGCCTCTCCTTGCCTCTCCCCGCCTCTCCCCGCCTCTCCTCGCCTCTCCTCGCCTCTCCCTGCCTCTCCCCGCCTCTCCCCGCCTCTCCTCGCCTCTCCTCGCCTCTCCCCGCCTCTCCTCGCCTCTCCTCGCCTCTCCCCGCCTCTCCCCACCTCTCCTCGCCTTGCCTCGCCTCTCCTCGCCTCTCCCCGCCTCTCCCCGCCTCTCCTCGCCTCTCCTCGCCTCTCCTCGCCTCTCCTCGCCTCTCCCTGCCTCTCCCCGCCTCTCCCCGCCTCTCCTTGCCTCTCCTCGCCTCTCCCTGCCTCTCCCCGCCTCTCCCCGCCTCTCCTCGCCTCTCCTCGCCTCTCCCCGCCTCTCCTAATCTCTCCCCGATCACGTTTGTTGCCACTCTCTCATCCAGCTCTGTTCACTTCACTTGCATGGCATATATGAAAGAATAAATTGCCAAGGGATCGTGCCCCTCTCACTTCCCACGCTCTTGTCTCTACTTTCGCCTTACCTGCATTGCATTCCTCAAGCAAGCGATTCTCAGAGTCATCCCTTTTTCTCTCCTTCCATTTCTCTCGGATTTCTCTCCGCATCTTCCTTCTGCCATCAGAATCTGACTGACAGCCTCCCGGCAGCATGCATTGCTGAGCGAGAGCCAGAGAGGCACCACGAGGTGCGTTGCGCTGCTGCTCCTCTTCAACCATGCCACGTCACCTCTTACAGCATGCCACGTCACTTCTCCCACCATGCCATGTCACGTCTCCACTATGCCACGTCACCGCTCTCAGTCTTCAAGCCACTCTTAATAAGCTGAATGGCACGTGCTGAATGGCACATGCTGAATGCCATACCATTTCGCATATTCTCTCTCCTTCCGCCCACCCCCCTTACTCGTCTACAATTTTCACCCCTCTCCATCGCTGTTCACCAGGATCCACCCTCCCTCTTTCTCCTGCTTCACCCCTGACAGTGTTTGATGCCTGCCGAACAGCTGCTGCAATTCGTCGGTTGAGTTGCCTCAAAACCCTTTCCCTTTTTTCCCTCCTCACTTCACCCACTGTGGCCCATCAGTGTTTCATGCCCAGACAACTGCTGCAATTCGTCCTTTAAGTCGCCTCTAAAGCCTTCCCACTCTCGCCCTCTTCAACCCCCGTGGCCCGGCAGTGTTTCATGCCCAGACAGCTGCTCCAGTTCGTCTCCACGCCGCTCTTCCTGATCAACAGCAACTACGACAAAGTGGCGGTGAGTTGGTTGGAATATCTCCAGCAACAGTGCGGCACTGTAACAAGGTGACTCTTTAGTCGACTCAGAAGCCATTCTTCTCTCTCCACGCCTCTCTTCCCGATCAACAGCAACCACGACAAAGTGGCAGTGAGTTGGAGTTTCCTGTTGCATTCTAACCTGATTACGTTTGACTCGACTCAGAAGCCATTCTTCTTTCTACGTGCCTCGATTTCTCACCAACAATAACTACAACACGGGTGCTTCTCATTCGAATGTTTCATATCTCCGTTTTTATTGTTCCGCCTTTTGTTTTTTATCGTGATGAATATTTTCCGTCCTCCGATCCTGGCAAAAGCATTCTTTCTCTCCGCGCCGTCTCACAAGCCTTTTCTATGTTTCGCCTACACCTGCACCACTGTATGCTTAATGACCTGCAGTTGATGGCCATAGGTGCCCCCCAGGTGCTGGACACGGGATACCATCACCCTCCGAATTGCTTCAACAACCTTGAAGAGTGCACTCCTGTCGAGAAAGAAGTCGTTGAGAGTGAGTTTTGAGTCGACTGGAAAGTCGCTCCGGTTGTTTCTTGCACACCAGATGGGAACCTGGGGCCTAAAGTATGTTTCTTCTGCTGAGAAGTGAGTCATTGAGAGTGTCTGTCATTACTGCATGTATGTGCGAGTGAGTGAGTGGGTTGGTGATTGAGCGAATCTGTGCGCAAGTGACGAGAGAGTGGACAAGATGGGAGGGAGGGAGTGTGAACATTTGATTGTGCTTCCATTCATGGCCTTATCTTCTCCCACCCTCCTCTGCATACCGATGACGCCTTACCTTGTCTCACCTTTCCTCACCTTGCCTCTTGCCCCACTCCAGGGCTTCAGATTACCAGAAAAAGTTGGCTACGGCAGTGGCTCCACTCCTCCAGACCGGCGCACAGTCAGCTGGATCGCTCTCGTCGCCATCTGCACCGCTCTACACACATGCCAATGCCGTCTTCCTCTTCTCCTGCGTCCAGCACGGCTCCATCCACTCCGATATGACTTGGACCCTGCACACTGCAAATGGGGTGGTATGTATCCTTTCCCTATTTCATTCCCCATGCAACACAGATCTCAACGGTGGTCCATGATTATCTGAAACACATTTACCTCCTGTCTTTTGCACTGTTGGCTAATAAGGTTGCAAGCATCTCATTTGTCGTTTCTTTTACAAATTGCAATACATGCAGCCGTGATTTCGTCTTTTGCTTGCATGTGAGAGCATGCGGTGGAATGTATGAAGAATGTCTGTTCAAAGAATGTCCTTCTTTCCTTTCCTATCCATCCAACGGCAGCCAATGAACGAAGCTGCCAGCCGTTGGATGCACCCTGACAACACTGACAAGATTCATCTCATTGAAGGAGGATATCCATGCAACTCATGCCCCATGAAGATGTGAAGTGTACTGTTTCTGAGGCTCCTCAAAAGCATGCACCTGACAACACTGCCAAGATTCATCTCATCGAAGGAGGGTATCCACTCCACGCAGCAATTCATGCTTCATGAAGATGTGAAGTGTACTTTAGCCTGACTGCTCTCGGCTTTGGCTATGCAAACCCTGAGATAAGCTCCAGGGGTTCAAGCTGTCAAACATATATGTATATATGTTATAGTTTGGGTAGGCTTAGTGGGGTACTCACCGTGGGGTACAACCCCTTAGGTTTCTCCTTTGTACCATCCTCTCGACACTCAATTTCACTCATGCCTATACTCTAAGATGGTATCTAGAGCCTAGAGGCCTTTAGGACCTAAGATTAGGGCCCACCCGTTACCACATTACCTCATTTGCCTGCCTTGCCTGCTGTCCGCGCGTGCCTCAGCTGCACGCGCGCGGCCCCAT